GATGCATTTGAGATATCAAAAAAGTACTCCAGAGTGTTGTTCAGCATGGGGGTGAGTAGAAAATGAAGGCTAATCATGTTTTGGGTGTACTATTTCTTTAAGGGCAGAGTCAATCTAGCTTTTCTATGTCTAAATAGCCGTCTATATTTCCTCCCAGCAGCCATGGGGAGAACAAAGCGACCCTGTTAGCTCCAATGGTTGATCTGACGCAGCAGGAGGCTTAGAGCGACCTCAGTTAGCGTGTGATGACATCATGCGGCCAGTGGAGAACTCGCCATTGTGTCGTACTTTCGTACTCACATCAAAGCCCGTGTTTGGATCCCAGCCCACGTGGCCGATGTGCCTGAGGAAGAGGAGGAGAGATGAGGTCAGATGGCGGACATGTTTACATGCATTAAATCCAGATCAGCTGGTCAGAAACAACAGAGATCTGATCTGACAGGGCAGAGCGTTACATCACTGCTCGGTCACTGGTGGAACCAGGTCCAAAGGTTCTGAAAGGTTCTGGAAACACTGGGTCAGCGTCTGCAGCAGGATCTGGATGGGCTGGTTTCTATGGCTGTTTGAAGCTCATCCGAACTGATAAATCTTTAAGATCTAATATCACTCAGCAGAACAGTCTAAGAGGCCAGGAAAAGAGCTCTACCACCTGCACACTGCTGGCCAGCTGTCTGACACAAGGCTACTTAGCTAACAGGAAACCCTGCTGGTCCAAAGTCCAGCACTTCATCTGCTAACGGGACCAGAACCTAGGATCTGGTACCCGGACCGACCCCTGGAAGGTTTCCCAATCAGCTGATGGTCTGATGGAAGGACAGTGAAGCGTCCCATGCTACGGCGACAGCTGCATGTCTGTGGAGCAGCGTAGCTCACTGCGCCGCAGGGTTACCCCATCAGGGAGGTGCTCTGTAATCACTACAACAGTTCAAGGCAGAGTTTAAATCAATAACTAATCAATAATGTCTGTTTAAGATGATTTATACATTCTGGAATTTACTGCAAAAAAACCCAAAGTTTTTTTGAGTGGGTCAGTAATATGATACCAACAGAATAAGATGGTTGCTCCTGGATTAGAATAAACATGTTTGTATATAAATAAGGAATTTAAACAAATCAACTTACTGTTTATTGTTGATTAATGACTTATTAGATTAATTCCTCAGACTTAAGTGTTGTGATGTTACCGCCGTCCACTAGAGGTCGTTGCTGTTCGAGCTTCACTGCTATTTGTATAAGTAATGCCAGAACGGAGGCATTAGAGAAAAGGGGAGGGCATTCCCCAAAACATTTATTGCATCATAGATAAAGGCATGTTGGCAATAAGCAGGGTAAATGGGGAAAGATTTATTTAAAGTTGTTGCACATCAAGGGACCCAGTTTTAACAGTTATCTGAGGACAACCTGAACACCCTGTTCTATTTCATCCCTACTGATGAAATATAATGGCGTGAAGGTACCGTGGAGGGGGATAAACTAAGCTTTCGCCTTCTGCAGCACTGCTCAGCAACACAAAGGAGAGAGAAAGTGAAACAGATTATTTAACATTTATAACTGCACT